AAATTCCTCCTCCTGAAGGACAGGGGTGCAGATGGCAGAGACCTGCAGCAGACCTCCCCCCAGAGCTGACAACATGATGTGACCCCCCTCCTCCCAGCCAGAGCCCCAGCATAGGTCTTATTTGCAGCATTAGATGTAGTGGACCTTAAAGCTGCACCCCGCCCATTGGTTGCAGGAACCTCAGAGCCCCCGCTCTGCAGACCACCATCAGAGGCAGCAGCAGTCCCCCTCCATCCACCAACACACAGGCATTCCCCTTTCCAGCATTGCAAGCACTCTTATCATCCATATGTTTCCTTTCACTCGTGGCACTACTGCTCCCAGCAGACCCACTCACACCAGATGCTCCTGTCTCCCCCTCCCCCAACATACTCCTCTTAGGCAAAAGCCTTCCACTCCTGGTCACTCTCCCCTGGGTTTCAGCAACCCCTTTCAGAGTGCTGCTGACAATTTCCCTCCCACCATTTTCTGCTGCATTTGCAGCCATCAGCAGAGGTTGTCCAGCAATAGTCTCAGATCCCCCCTTTACCTTCCCCCCAGCAGAGTCCACAGTCACAGGGTTCCTGGTATCAGAGTCCTCAGTCCCAGCAGAGTGCAGTCCTGCAGGCACAGCAGCCATCTTCCCTGCAGAGCTCTGTGCACACACAGGAGGATTTCCCTCCAAAACACTGCAGTGCACATGGCTGTCCACACTGGAGTCCAAAATGGCACTTTTAATAAAGCGCGGCTTTTCTGTTTTTTTCTCCTTTACAGGACCAGGTACAGAGTCCTCACCGTCATCTTCATCCTCAGAGTCCTCAGAAAAACGGAAAGTTCTTCCAATTAGGGAAGACTCCAATTCCTCAATGTACTTTAGCAGCCCTCCACCATATTCCTCTACCTCCTGTGCTGTTCCTCCAGCTTGCTGTGGAGGGAGGGGGGGGCAGAGGCTGACATTTCCTCCAGGGAAGCAGATCCTGAGGTGGATGGGATAGCAGGGGCAGCATCCAGGACCCCCTCCTCACTCTCCACCCGTACTGCCACCGCCGATGCTGGATCCTTACCGGAGTCTCCCTTCATCTTCCTGAACCTTTCCTCATTCCGGAACTTTTCTCTGAAAGCTCCGCTCTTCTCCTTCAGCGTCTTTACCAGATTCTGCTGCTTCTTAATGGCGACCTCCAAACCCTTCATCTCCGGCTTCATGCTCTGCCTCTTGCTGCTCCATGACTTGTCATGGAGAACTTTCTTTTTCTTGTAGTCAGTTTTTAGACTCACCAACTTTTCCTCCTCCTTTGCGATTCTCACCAGATAATCAGCAACCCGCTCTCTAAAGACAGGGAGGGATTCCCCACTTTTAGGGCCACAGCCAAGGTCTTCAGGTGCTGGTGAAGTATGGGAAGGCAAGCTGGGTCCCTCAGGGGGAGCATGGTCTGAGCCTAGCCCAGAAGAGGCCATGTTTCTGGGGCCAGGCGAGCAGGCCTGGCCCCCTAGTGCCTGGAGAGGGAGAGCACCTGCAGCACAACCTCTCTGGTGCAGAGTGGAAGCTCCTCTAGTACAGAGACTGATGTGACTGTGGGGGAGGGGACATTAGAGTGTAAGCTCCTCTGGTACAGAGACTGATGTGACTGTGGGGGAGGGGACATTAGAGTGTAAGTTCCTCTGGTGCAGAGACTGATGTGACTGTGGGGGGAGGGGACATTAGAGTGTAAGCTCCTCTGGTACAGAGACTGATGTGACTGTGGGGGGGGGAGGGGACATTAGAGTGTAAGCTCCTCTGGTGCAGAGACTGATGTGACTGTGGGGGAGGGGACATTAGAGTGTAAGCTCTTCTGGTACAGAGACTGATGTGACTGTGGGGGAGGGGACATTAGAGTGTAAGCTCCTCTGGTACAGAGACTGATGTGACTGTGGGGGAGGGGACATTACAGTGTAAGCTCTTCTGGTACAGAGACTGATGTGACTGCGGGGGGGGAGGGGACATTAGAGTGTAAGCTCCTCTGGTACAGAGACTGATGTGACTGTGGGGGAGGGGACATTACAGTGTAAGCTCTTCTGGTACAGAGACTGATGTGACTGAGGGGGAGGGGACATTAGAGTGTAAGCTCCTCTGGTACAGAGACTGATGTGACTGCGGGGGAGGGGACATTAGAGTGTAAGCTCCTCTGGTACAGAGACTGATGTGACTGTGGGGGAGGGGACATTAGAGTGTAAGCTCCTCTGGTACAGAGACTGATGTGACTGTGGGGGAGGGGACATTAGAGTGTAAGCTCCTCTGGTACAGAGACTGATGTGACTGTGGGGGGAGGGGACATTACAGTGTAAGCTCCTCTGGTACAGAGACTGATGGGACTGTGGGGGAGGGGGACATTAGAGTGTAAGCTCCTCTGGTACAGAGACTGATGTGACTGGCTCAGTGTCTCTGTACAGCGCTGCGGTATATGTCAGAGCTATATAAACTGGCTAAATCTATGAGAATAGATGGAGTTAGCAGACTGATCCGTATTGGATGGGAGGGGAGGATGGAGGGCTCATCGATCGATGGGTCATTAGTCATTGGCACTGAGCGGATGAGAGTGCGGTCCGTCTTTTTATAGCGCGCTCCACGCGGTGTTTCCTGCCCCGAGGATATGCGTAGTCCCTAATTGCTTTTGCTGTAATATCTGCAGAGCTTTTAGGCTCCTCGTTAGTTAATAATCGTTAATGCTCGCTTGCTTCGCTTTAAATCGTCCGAATTCCCAGAACAGGACCTTCCATTGTCTACATTCATGTCACCGTTCAGAAAAAAGCTGAACTTCACTGACGGACTTCAATGGGCCTCATTGTCTCACACTGCGGGGATTTTTGTTTAATAATGAGCCAATTATCAGTTATCAGACGGCTTCCGATTCCCTCCAGGATGACGTCATCCAGCATTGATGGTGCAGGAGGGAAGTCCACCAACTGGAAGGTTCTTCCTGCCTAAAGCGCCGACAGCCAAAACATTCTGTTCATCTGCCAGAAATGTGGTGACTTCCTAAGGTTTGGGCCCCGCCTGCCGCACTACAGACCTCGACTCCCAACACCCTGCCCATACAACGTGTGCAGGGAAAGGGCTCTTGGGAGATGTAGTTCTGGGTGAGGGGCGTGCCTGCATTATTGATAGGAACTGACCTCGCAGCACTTGCGCCTCCTAATGATCCCTAGACACGTGCAGAACGAAAAAATGTGATTGGTTTCGGATTGATTCGTCAAGTTACTAATTTTGTTCAGTTGCATTCGGAACAAATTTCGTTTCATTTATTTGTTTTTGACCGGATTCAAATTTTTCCAATGGATTCGAAGTATACAAATCGAAAATATGAAATGGATTCGAAGTCAATGCGAAGAATAGCTGGTTCTATTCTATTTGAAAGATGGCTATATTCATTCTATTCTATTCTATTTTTTCTATTCTAATCTTTTCTATTCTATTTTTTACTTTTCTATTCCGTTCTTTACTGTTCTATTCCTTTCTGTTCTATTCTGTTTTATTCTATTCTTTTCTACTCTATTCTGTTTTATTCTATTCTAATCTGTTTTACTCTATTCTTTTCTACTCTATTCTGTTTTACTCTATTCTTTTCTACTTTATTCTTCTCTATTCTAATCTGTTTTACTCTATCCTTCTCTATTCTAATCTGTTTTACTCTATTCTTTTCTATTCTAATCTGTTTTACTCTATCCTTCTCTATTCTAATCTGTTTTACTCTATCCTTCTCTATTCTAATCTGTTTTACTCTATTCTTTTCTACTCTTCTGTTTTACTCCATTCTTTTGTAGTTTATTCTGTTTTATTCTATTCTTTTCTATCCTGTTCTTTTCTACTCTATTCTGTTTTATTTTATTCTATTTTTTTTCTATTCTGTTTTACTCTATTCTTTTCTACTCTACTCTGTTTTATTCTATTCTTTGAAATTCGAATTTTACAAGAGTGCTATATTCTATTTTATTCGAAGTATTCAAATCGAAAATATCGTATGCATCCGAAGTCATTGTGAAGAATAGCTGGTTCTATTCTATTTGAAATTTTAAGGATGGCTATATTCATTCTATTCTATTGTATTTTTTGCAATTCTATTCTTTTCTATTTTATTTGATACTTTTCTATTCTGTTCTTTACTTTCCTATTCTATTCTGTTTTACTCTATTCTTTTCTACTCTATTCTGTTTTTTATTATATTCTATTCTTTTCTATTCTGTTCTTTTCTACTTTATTTTTTATTCTATTCTTTTCTATTCTGGTCTTTACTTTCCTATTCTATTCTTTTCTGTTCTAGTCTGTTTTACTCTATTTTTTTCTACTCTATACTGTTTTTTTATTCTATTCTATTCTTTTTGAAACTCCAGAAGACTGCTACATTCTTTCTATTTTATTGTATTCTATTCTAGTCTTTTTTTACATTCTATTCTATGATCATGCTAATAACCTACATTTTTTTAGCAGCAAGAGATTAAATTTGGCTCGGTCAGCTCTAGTCCATTCGGATATCATTTTATTGGGGAAAATGGTTTGGCTAGACAAGATTTCTTTACCGGCTTAGTAGTTCTTTGCTCAACATCTGTTGGCCAGGATTATCTGAGGGAGCTTTTACAAACTGCCAAGCTTTCCTATGTTGCCCTACTCTGTTTAGTCGTTGGGCAACTAAGGCAACTGCAAAAAAGGAAGGATCAGGCCACTTCTGACAATTGCTTGTTTGCAACTGTTTCAAGAGACAACCTTTACAATTGCATGGAAACGACTATATTCTTTGTAGAGCAATCTGCAGCAACTGGTAGATTCTTGCTTCCAGGAGAACCTGGAAATCAGTCAAGTGCCACCTTGGATGTGACTAGTTGTAGAAATTTCGATAGTTTGTATGGAATTTTTTTGCATCTTCTCTCCAGAAATGCTTTTGTCTTTGTCTGCTTGACCAATGTTTTTTGAATATCCTCTTTTTCTTTTCTTTCCATCAACAGCACTGCCTCCGAAGCTTTTCCAAGACCCAGATGAGCGATCATCCAAGATGTCATTATGCCTACCTCGCCTGGCCTGCCCTAGTAGATGCTGCTGTGGTTGCCACCAACAGAGACCTGGTTTCGTGTTAGTTTGGGTTCCAGAATCTTCTGTGCCCCGTGGACTCAATGCTAGTGAAGTCTTGGATTCTTCTGATGATGGCAACGAGCTTCAAAAGACCTCATCACTAACTGACGAGGATGATGGAGAAAAGTGGGGCCCGAGGCTTCTGAAGGACAAGATGACAGCTGGGACTAGCTACCCTGTCAGACGCCGTTCCTTGAGATATGGGGAGCGTTGCCAGCAGAACTCGGCTGATGGGTTGGGGTTGGGGATGAGAAGGTCAACAGTGGGATTGTACTCACCTCTTATAAATCCACGGTAGACTGTAACTTCAACCGTGACTTGCCCAGCCCTACTGGCGAGGAGGTGGATGACATCCAGGGTGAAATTCCTAGGTTGGACAATGCTCCAGAGGTTCCTAAGCATGGAGTGGCCTCTTTTTGGAAAGCAAAAGCCAGTGGTGATATGGACTCTTCTGTCACTCATACCACGAACCCTCCCCCAAATAATTTATGTAATGGACCTTCCCTTGAACCCACGAATGGATATGCACCCATCGTAAAAAGTTCAAAGTTAAAAAGTATCTCATTCTGTGATCAGGTGGTGCCCATCATGGACAAAGATATAAATTCAAATTCTGGCGACTCTACAGAGAGTTTGACGAGTTTATCTGCCACAGATGCTTCACAATCTGCTTTGGAGCCCCAAGCTGGGGAAGACCAGGCTGGGGAACCGCGGCTCAAGATCCGTAAACCAGCCCGCCGGAACAAGGTGCCACCTGTTCAGTGCTTGTTTGAACCACCCGAGCCCCCGGCAGTTGTGCCCCCTAAAGTGCCCAGCAAGCCTCCTCGGGGGGCGGCCCCTCCACCTCCACCGGCTCCTCCCCCGTTTTTGAGAAAGGGTTCTTTGAAGAGGTATTCAACAGGAAACTCAGAGGAACTGGCGGAAAGAGATAAGAAGGCATCGGTAAGCAGCCTTCCGGTGGAGAGAGGTAGAGATCGTCATTCCTCATCGGAGGACACCAACGGTAAGTAGTCAAAATAGTTAACTAGACAAACCGTTTTGGTCCATAGGAAGGCAACATAACCCCCCCCCCTTCCCAAAAGGCAACTGTGGCCAACTTTGCTTTACGGGAAGGAGGACTTTGCATTGAGATTGGAATGTATTATATTTGTGGTTATCATTATTTGCAAGGTGGTCATCACCTGTGTTTGCCATTACTACTGTATACATTAAGACCACTTAATCGCTCTTACTGAAAAGAATCCTTCTGATTTCTTTTAATTTATTTATTACAGTTACTTATATAGCGCCATCAATTTACACACTCTTTACAAGCGCTTTACATATATATTGTACATTCACATCAGTCCCTAACCCTCAAGGGGCGTACAATCTAAGGTCCCTAACCCTCAAGGGGCGTACAATCTAAGGTCCCTAACTCACATTCATGCATACACATACTAGGGACAATTTAGACAGGAGCCAATTAACCTACCAGAATGTCTTTGAGGTGTGGGAGGAAACCCGAGGACCCGGAGGAAACCCACGCAGGCACAGGGAGAACATGCAAACTCCAGGCAGGTGGTGCCGTGGTTGGGATCTGAACCAACGACCCAAGTACTTCCAGTTGGAGGTGCTAACCATTTAACCTCTTGGGTCCTGGGTCCAAGCATTGACAGGATTTCTGGGATATTGGGGATAAAAGGACTGTAGATTGGGTCATGTGGGTAATAAAAGTATTTGTACGTTGTTTAGTTATAGTGTTCTCTCTTTCTTCTCTCCTGCAGAGTCGTCCGGATCAGAGTCCTCCGTCTTCAGGTCAGTGTACGGTGAAGAGTTGTCATGATCCATTCCTAGCACCTCCCAACCATTAGTCAGTACTAGCCCCATGTGGCAGATCTTCACACCCATGACTGAACCCCCCCCCCCCCCCCCCCCCCCCCCGGGTCTATATACACCTCTATGACCTAGAGTGCAACTCCAGGAAAACTCCTCCCTAGAGCCAGCCCACTGCTTGCATCAGGACTGAGGGCTCTTAGGAGGAGTACTGAGGCAGGGTCCTGTGATGTTTTCAGGAAGCTGTGTACAGCGCCCTTTCAGCCCCTCCCACCAGCCATGATCTGCTTGCATTGTATAGAGAAGCACACAGAGATAATGATGATTGCTGGGTCTAGAATAAGATATATAATGAAAACGATTTTTATTTAAAAATATCATTAGTATGTTGATGGGGGGGGGAGGGAGGAGTCAGGGAAGACAAAATATAGGCAGATTAAATTTCAGCTTTAAAATGATTATCAGGTTTGGGTTAATCTGTAGTTTGAAACGTAATTATAGTTCTTAAATATTTACAGAAAATGCTTCAAAATAATTCATTTGTTTGGTTGCTATATGTATGTGGCAACAGCAGTGTTTACTTCCTCTGCCACTCTATGTCCTCTCCTCGGGGGCGGGCTCAACCTCTGCATGGGAGGATGGGGAAGCGGGGCCTGCACTGGGCGGGCTCACTGTAATACTGACCAGCCCTTCTATACTATCCTACCTCCCTGCCCTTCCCCCTAGGTGCCCTCCTATACCCAGACCGAGGTTCTAAACCTTTCCACACCCTTCTTCTGAAACTGAAAAACAAATTTCAACCTGATTCTAGAGAGCCAAAGAATTGAAAAATAAGTGCGCCGGTCATTTTTACAGATTTTTAAAATTATTTTTCAGATCTTCATCGTCAGTGAAAAGCCCGAGATGCATAGACTGGGAGTCCCACCTGAGAGATGGTAAGTTATGGGTGGTTCATGTCACACAGTCCTCCAGCAGTACAGAGTATTTCAGGAGAGGAGTTATAGAGGAAGGAGCGGAGTCCTCCAGCAGTGCAGAGTATTTCAGGAGAGGAGAGTTATAGAGGAAGGAGCGGAGTCCTCCAGCAGTGCAGAGTATTTCAGGAGAGGAGAGTTATAGAGGAAGGAGCGGAGTCCTCCAGCAGCGAAGAGTATTTCAGGAGAGGAGAGTTATAGAGGAAGGAGCGGAGCCCTCCGGCAGCGCAGAGTATTTCAGGAGAGGAGAGTTATAGAGGAAGGAGAGGAGTCCTCCAGCAGCGCAGAGTATTTCAGGAGAGGAGAGTTATAGAGGAAGGAGCGGAGTCCTCCAGCAGCGAAGAGTATTTCAGGAGAGGAGAGTTATAGAGGAAGGAGCGGAGCCCTCCAGCAGAGCAGAGTATTTCAGGAGAGGAGAGTTATAGAGGAAGGAGAGGAGTCCTCCAGCAGCGCAGAGTATTTCAGGAGAGGAGAGTTATAGAGGAAGGAGCGGAGCCCTCCGGCAGTGCAGAGTATTTCAGGAGAGGAGAGTTATAGAGGAAGGAGAGGAGTCCTCCAGCAGCGCAGAGTACTTCAGGAGAGGAGAGTTATAGAGGAAGGAGCGGAGTCCTCCAGCAGTGCAGAGTATTTCAGGAGAGGAGAGTTATAGAGGAAGGAGCAGAGTCCTCCAGCAGTGCAGAGTATTTTAGGAGAGAGAAGAGTTATAGAGGAAGGAGCGGAGTCCTCCAGCAGTGCAGAGTATTTCAGGAGAGGAGAGTTATAGAGGAAGGAGCGGAGTCCTCCAGCAGTGCAGAGTATTTCAGGAGAGGAGAGTTATAGAGGAAGGAGCGGAGTCCTCCAGCAGTGCAGAGTATTTCAGGAGAGGAGGGTTATAGAGGAAGGAGCGGAGTCCTCCGGCAGCGCAGAGTACTTCAGGAGAAGAGAGTTATAGAGGAAGGAGCGGAGTCCTCCAGCAGCGCAGAGTACTTCAGGAGAAGAGAGTTATAGAGGAAGGAGCGGAGTCCTCCAGCAGTGCAGAGTATTTCAGGAGAGGAGCGTTATAGGGGAAGGAGTGGAGTCCTCCAGCAGTGCAGAGTATTTCAGGAGAGGAGAGTTATAGAGGAAGGAGCGGAGTCCTCCAGCAGCGCAGAGTACTTCAGGAGAGGAGAGTTATAGAGGAAGGAGCGGAGTCCTCCAGCAGTGCAGACTGTTTCAGGAGAGTTATAGAGGAAGGAGCGGAGTCCTCCAGCAGCGCAGAGTATTTCAGGAGAGGAGAGTTATAGAGGAAGGAGCGGAGTCCTCCAGTAGCACAGAGTATTTCAGGAGAGGAGCGTTATAGAGGAAGGAGCGGAGTCCTCCAGCAGCGCAGAGTATTTCAGGAGAGGAGAGTTATAGAGGAAGGAGCGGAGTCCTTCAGCAGCGCAGAGTATTTCAGGAGAGGAGAGTTATGGAGGAAGGAGCGGAGTCCTCCAGCAGCGCAGAGTATTTCAGGAGAGGAGAGTTATAGAGGAAGGAGCGGAGTCCTCCAGCAGAGCAGAGTATTTCAGGAGAGGAGAGTTATAGAGGAAGGAGCGGAGTCCTCCAGCAGCGCAGAGTACTTCAGGAGAGAAGAGTTAAGTAACTGTAATGTTGGGTGGAGTAATGCTTCGGCATTGTGGAGTGTACTTTACATTATTCTCACATATCTCGCTTTCAGAGCCGCTGTACCAGACGTACCGCCAGTCAGTCATCAATAAGGAGATCCGACGTCAGACCGTTTCACGTAACAGCAGCTTTACCAGCTATGACTCGTCTCAGGATAGCCCCCTGTCCTATGGAGGGTCTCCAAAACAAGGGCGGAGGTCTACTGTACCCCATAACACCCTGTGGCAGGAATTACCCTCCGTGATGGAGAGCGGTGTACTGGAGTCCATGACCAATGAGGAGAAGAAGATGCAGGAGGTGAGCCATGGGTCAGCCCCGTTATTACTGTATAATAGAGGAAGAGTCAGCCATGTTGTGCCCCTTATGATGTTGGTAGTAATAGCTACCACAGTGCCCCCTGTGATGTGAGGCAGTCAAAGTTCCCCCATGATATGGGTTAGTAATAATTGGCCAGGTTGTCCCCTATGATACAAGGTAGTAATAATTGGCCAGGTTGTCCCCCATGACACAAGGTAATAATATTTGGCCAGGTTGTCCCCTATGATGTGAAGTAGTTATAATTGTCCAGGTTGATCCACATTAAACAAGGTAGTGATAATTGGCAAGGTTGTCTCCCATAATATGAGGTATTAATATTTGGTCAGGTTGTCCCCCATGATATGAGGTAGTAATATTTGTCCAGGTTGTCCCCCATGATACAAGGTTTTAATATTTTACCAGATTGTCCCCCATGATACCAGGTAGCAATAATTGGCCAGGTTGTTTCCCATAATACGAGGTATTAATATTTGGCCAGTTTTTTCCCTGTGATACTAGGTAGTAATATTTTGCCAGATTGTCCTCCATGATACGAGGTAGTAATATTTTTCCAGGTTGTCCCCCATGATACAAGGTAGTAATAATTGGCCAGGTTGTCCCCCATAATATGGAATAATAATAATTTGCCAGGTTGTCCCCCATGATATGAGGTAGTAATAATTAGTCAGGTTGTCCCCTATGATATGAGGTAGTAATAATTGGCCAGGTTGTCCCCCATAATAAGGAATATTAATAATTGGCCAGGTTGTCCCCCATGATACAAGGTAGTAATAATTAGTCAGGTTGTCCCCCATGATATGAGGTAGTAGGTTGTCCCCTATGATATGACTTCGTAAAAGCCGGCCTTATTGTTCTTGGTGTCCTCAGAGCATGTTTGAGGTCCTGACTTCGGAAGTCTCGTACCTCCGCTCGCTGAATGTGCTGACGGAACATTTTTTGGGATGTCGGGAGCTGCAGGAAACACTGATCATCCGTGAGAAAAAAAAATCCTTTTCTCCAACATCCTGAAAGTGAAGGAGGTCAGCGAGAGGTAGGCCACAGTTCATGACTATAGTGTGTTGAGTATCTGCTGTGTTGGAGGATGCCTAGTGTATAGTGATGCTGAGTATCTGCTGTGATAGAGGCCATAGAGTGATGCTGAGTATCCCACAGGTTCCTCATGGATCTGGAGTCCCGGGTAGACGAGGACATTGTCATTTCGGATATTTGTGACATCATCTATCACCATGCTGTCCATAACTTCCCAGTCTACAAGGATTATGTGCGCAACCAGCTATACCAGGAGAAGACCTATAGCGAGCTCATGTGAGACTACTACCGCTATGTTCCACCTGCTTGTGTAACCACACCCCACTTACCTGACTGCACCCCACTTACCTGACTGCACCCCACTTACCTGATCGCATCCCATACACTTAACCGCACTCCATTCACCTGACTGCACCCCATTCACTTGACCAAACTCTATTCACCTGACCATTCTCTACTCACCTGACCACATTCCCGTGCATGGCTGACATAGTCCACATTCTGACTCTGTCTCTCTTCTTGGTCTGGCAGGGAGAAGAAACCGCAGTTCCAAGCCATACTGTGCCGCTTACAGGAGCTCCCTCAGTGCCAGCGCCTCCCCTTCATGTCTTTCCTGCTACTGCCCTTTCAGAGGATCACTCGCATAAAGATGCTCATTGAGGTAGAGACTCCACCCTGAATGCTCAACCCCGTCCTGGCTGAAATTCCCCCCCCCAACACACCTCCACTCCAGCACACTCCACTTCACCCCACCCAACTTTAATCTTCCCAGCACCCACTTTCCATCCCACTCTGAACCTTCCCACACCCCTTTTTCCATCCCACTCGAAGCCTCTCTACCCCCCTCTCCACCTCCCTATGAACCCCCCTGCACTCTTCACTCCACCCATTATACTCTTCATTTTCCCCTGATCCCCCCATCTCTTATACACCTCTTCATCTTACCCTGATCCCCTCCATCCCTTATACTGGATCCCTTTCCCCATCCCTGCTCACCCCTTCCTTCCATTTTGGTATAACACTCTGCTCCACCTATCCACAAATCCAGCCAGTGATACTTCTTTTTTTTTTTTTTTCTTCCACAAAGAATATTTTGAAGAGGACGGAGGAGGGTTCAGAGGCTGAACAGAATGCCAGCAAAGCCCTGGATGCCGTCTCCAAGGTACAGACGTGTTACATGTATGAGGATGTGGTGCATGCACATTGACATATAGGGGGAGATTTACTAAAACTGGAGCCCCCGGAATCTGGTGCAGCTGTGCATGGTAGCCAATCAGCTTCTATCTTCAGCTTGTTCAATTAAGCTTTGACAATAAAACCTCGAAGGTGATTGGGTACTATGCATGGTTGTACCTGACTTAGAACTCTCCAGCTTTAGTAAATAACCCCCAGTATGTCTTGGAGGTGGGAGAGGAAAAGTCTCAAACTGTTATATATATTTTATTTACAGTACCTTTCAAAAGTATTCATACCCCTAGAAATTTTCCACATTTTGCCATGTTACAACCAAAAACATAAATGTATTTTATTGGGATTTCATGTGATAGACCAACGCAAAGTGGCACATAATGGTGAAATGGAAGGAAAATAAGAAATGGTTTTCAAAATTTTTTACAAATAAATATTTGAAAAGTGTGGCGCGCATTTGTATTCATCCCCCTTTTACTCTGATCCCCCTAACTAAAATCTAGTGGAACCAATTGCCTTCAGAAGTCACATAATTAATAAATAGAGTCCACCTGTGTGTCATGTGATCTCAGTATAAATCCAGCTTTGTTAGAGAACATTAGTGAACAAACAGCATCATGAAGCCCAAGGAACACACCAGACAGGTCAGGGATAAAGTTGGGGAGAAGTTTAAAGCAGGGTTAGGTTATAAAAAAAATATCCCAAGCTTTGAACCTCTCAGGGAGCACTGTTCAATCCATCATACGAAAATGGAAAGAGTACGGCACAACTGCCAACCTACCAAGACATGGCCGTCAGAGAAGCAGCCAAGAGGCCCATGGTAACTCTGGAGGAGCTGCAGAGATCCACAGCTCAGGTGGGAGAATCTGTCCACAGGACAACTATTACTCGTGCTCTTCACATATCTGGCCTTTATGGAAGAGTGACAAGAAGAAAGCCATTGTTGGAGGAAAGCCATAAGAAGTCCTGTTTGCAGTTTGTGAGAAGCCATGTGGGGGACACAGCAAACATGTGGAAGAAGGGGCTCTGGTCAGAGGAGACCAAACTTAAACTTTTTGACCTAAATGCAAAACGCTGTGTGGCGGAAAACTAACACCGAATCCCACCCTGAGCACACCATCCCCACCATGAAACATGGTGGTGGCAGTGTCATGTTGTGGAGATGCTTTTCTTCAGCAGGGTCAGAGTTGATGGGAAGATGGATGGAGCCAAATACAATGCAATCTTAGAAGAAAACCTGTTAGAGTCTGTAAAAGACTTGAGACTGGGACGGAGGTTCACCTTCCAGCAGGACAACGACCCGAAACATCCAGCCAGAACTACAATGGAATGGTTCAGTTCAAAGCATCTTCATGTGTTAGAATGCCCATTCACAGTCTAGACCTAAATGCAATGGAGAATCTGTGGCAAGATTTGAAAACTGCTGTTCCCAGACACTCCATCCAATCTGACAGAGCTTGAGCAGAAATGTCCCTCTCTAGATGTGCAAAGAGACATCCCCAAAAAGACTTGCAGCTGGAATTGCAGCCAAAGGGGGTCCTACAAAGTATTGACTCCGGGGGGCTGAATACAAATGCCGCCACACTTTTCACAGAATTATTGGTCACAAATGTTGGAAACCATTTCTCATCTTCCTTCCACTTCACAATTATGTGCCACTTTGTGTCGGTCCATCACATCCAATCCAATCCCAATAAAATACATTGACGGTTCTGGTTATAACATGACAAAATGTGGAAAATTTCAAGGGATATGAATACTATACCAGAGGAGCTTACACTTTAATGTGTGTCCCCCCCCCCCCCATACACAGTCACACACAATATTTATTATACATTTTATCTAGCTCTGACATACAGTTGCAAGAAAAAGTATGTGAACCCCTTGGGATTACGTGGAGTTTTGTATGAATTGGGCATAAAATGTGCTCTGAACGTCATCTAAGTCACAATAGAAGAACACAGTCTGCTGAACATAATACTACACACACATTAGATGTTGCCATGGTTTAATTGCACATAACATGTAAACATTCACAGTGCAGGGAGGAAAACGTATGTGAACCTTTGGACTTAATAACTGGTTGACCCTCCTTTGGCAGCAATAACCTCAACCAAACGTTTCCTGTAGTTGCAGATCAGACCTGCACAACGATCTGGAGTCATTTTGGACCACTCCTCTTCACAAAACTGTTTCAGTGTAGCAATATTCTTGGGATGTCTGGTGTGAATCGCTCTCTTAAGGTCATGCCACAGCATTTCAATGGGGTTGAGGTCAGGACTCTGACTGGGCCACTCCAGAAGGCGTATTCTGTGCTGTTGCAGCCATTGTTTTGTTGAATTACTTGTATGCTTTGGGTCATTGTCCTGTTGCATCACCCATCCTCTGCGGAGCTTCAGTTGGTGGACAGATGGTCGTACGTTTTTCCTGCAAAATGTCTTGATAAACTCTGGAATTCATTTTCCCATCAATGACAACAATCCGTCCAGGCCCTGAGGCAGCAAAGCAGCCCCAAACCATGATGCTCCCTCCACCATGTTTCACAGTGGGGATGAGGTTTTGATGTTGGTGTGCTGGGCCTTTTTTTCTCCACACATAGTGTTGTGTGTTCTTCCCAAACAACTCAATCTTGGTTTCATCTGTCCACAGTATATTTTGCCAGTAGTGCTGTGGAACATCCAGGTGCTCTTTTGCAAACTTCAAACGTGCTGCAATCTTCTTTTTGGACAGCAATGGCTTCCTCCGTGGTGTCCTCCCATGTACTCCATTCTTCTTGTTTAATGTTTTCCTTATTGTAGATGTGTCAACAAAAATGTTAGCATGTGCCAGAGATTTCTGTAGGTCTTTAGCTGACACTCTGGGATTCTTCTTTACCTCATGCAGCATTCTGCGCTGTGCTCTTGCAGTCATTTTTACAGGATGACCACGCCTAGGGAGAGTAGCAACAGTGCTAAACTTTCTCCATTTGTAGACAGTCTGTCTTACCGTGGACACATGAACATCAAGGCTTTTGGAGATACTTTTGTAACCCTTTCCAGCTTCATGCAAGTCAACAATTCTTGATCGTAGGTCTTCTGAGAGCTCTTTTCTGCGAGGCACGGTTCACATCAGACAGTGCTTCTTGAAACCAGTAAACCCAAAACAGGTGTCAGCAACACATCCAATATCATCACACTGATTGGAGTCAAGGTTGGCTCACTCCTGGCTCCAATTAGCTCTGGGAGAAGTCATTAAGCTAGGGCCTCACATACTTTATCCTCCCTGCACTGTGAATGTTTACATGTTATGTGCAATTAAACCATGGCAACATCTAATGTTTTGTGTAGTATTATGTTCAGCAGACTGTGTTGTTCTATTGTTGTGACTTAGATGACGTTCAGAGCACATTTTATACCCAATTCATGCAAAACTCCACGTAATCCCAAGGGGTTCACATACTTTTTCTTGCAACTGTATACTGCAGTGCTGTACAGAGATCACTGAGCCAGTCATTGCTGAGACAGCATTGCAACTTCACAATATTACTGCAGACTCAGAAAATACCATCTCAGTGTTAGAAGTGTAAAAGCAAATACTAACGGTTATTATAAGGATTTTTTTTCTTGTTTTGTCATTTAAAAGTTATGTTATGTTCCTGATAGAATTGCATTTATAGCATTTGCTCCTGGATTCCGCAGATTATCACAGAGTGCAACCAGGAGGTGGGCCGCATGCGGCAGACAGAGGAACTGATCCACATCTCCTCCAAGATCGAGTTTGACAAGATAAAGGTCAGCTTATGCATGATGTCTACTTCCTGTTACAGCTTACATTTCCTGCTGATGTAAAGTATGTCAACATTTTATACCCGTCATGGCACCTCAGGGGTGGAGCTTTGTGGCACGGGGTGGGGCTTTGTAGCTCCTCAGGACTGGGACATTAGTATTATGTTTTTTTGGTTTTTTTTTTGGGAGCAGAACTCGGCTCCTGCATACAAAGGCTTGAAGGAAGCACACTGAGGTGAATGAGGGTCGAGCGGTATTAAACGCCAATGCATTCTACTTGCAGGCCATCCCGATCATTTCTCAGAGTCGGTTCCTTGAGAAGCAAGGGGAACTGAGCGAAGTGCAGCAGAAGGGGAGTCTGTTCGGCATCAAACCCACCAAACTGACCCCAGTCTACTTCTTCCTGTTCAATGATTTCCTGTTGATCACCCAGAAGAAAGGGTACAGACCCCCCCCGTATTATTTTTGTCCCTCCTTCCCTCTCTCCTCTGTATCCCGCCTTCTCTGCCTCTCTCCTTCCTAAAGTTCTACTCCTATTATTTCAGCTCTGACCGGCATGTCGTTGTGGATTATGCCCATCGTTCTCTGGTTCAACTCCAGTCCTGCCCTACAATGGAGAACAGCTTCTTCCTGACCCTACTGGAGAATCACCAGGGCAAAACCTGTGACCGGCTCTTCAAGGCTCCGACACAGTGAGTAGGCTCCTCCTATTATCAGGTGACACCGTCTTTCCTCCTCCTGCAGGGCGACACATATAGAAGGAGCTATGGGTCTGTCCTCCTCCTGCAGGGCGACACATATAGAAGGAGCTATGGGTCTATCCTCCTCCTGCAGGGTGAAACGTATAGAAGGAGCTATGAGTCTGTCCTCCTGCTGCAGGGTGACATGTATAGAAGGAGCTATGGGTCTGTCCTCCTCCTGCAGGGCGACACATATAGAAGGAGCTATGGGTCTATCCTCCTCCTGCAGGGTGAAACGTATAGAAGGAGCTATGAGTCTGTCCTCCTCCTGCAGGGTGACATGTATAGAAGGAGCTATGGGTCTGTCCTCCTCCTGCAGGGCTACACATATAGAAGGAGCTATGGGTCTGTCCTCCTCCTGCAGGGCGACACATATAGAAGGAGCTATGGGTCTATCCTCCTCCTGCAGGGTGAAACGTATAGAAGGAGCTATGGGTCTGTCCTCCTCCTGCAGGGCTACACATATAAAAGGAGCTATGGGTCTGTCCTCCTCCTGCAGGGCGACACATATAGAAGGGGCTATGGGTCTGTCCTCCTCCTGCAGGGTGACACATATAGAAGGGGCTATGGGTCTGTCCTCCTCCTGCAGGGTGACACATATAGAAGGGGCTATTAATCTGTCCTCCTCCTGCAGGGTGACACATATAGAAGGGGCTATTAATCTGTCCTCCTCCTGCAGGGTGACACATATAGAAGGGGCTATTAATCTGTCCTCCTCCTCCTGCAGGGTGACACATATAGAAGGGGCTATGGGTCCGTCCTCCTCCTGCAGGGTGACACATATAGGAGCTATGGGTCTGTCCTCTTGCAGGACGACACATATAGAAGGAGGTATGAATCTGCCCTCCTCCTGCAGGGTGACACATATAGAAGGGGCTATGAGTCTATCCTCCTCCTGCAGGGTGACACCTATAGAAGGAGCCATGAGTCTGTCCTCCTCCTGCAGGGTGACACATATAGAAAGGGCTATGAACCTGTCCTCCTCCTGCAGGGTGACACATATAGAAGGGGCTACGAGTCTGTCCTCCTGCAGGGTGACAGTAATAGAAGGGGGCTATGAGTCTGTCCTCCTCCTGCAGGGTGACACTTATAGAAGGGGCTGTGAGTCTGTCCTCCTCCTGCAGGGTGACACATATAGAAGGGGCTATGAGTCTGTCCTCCTCCTGCAGGGTGACACATATAGAAGGGGCTATGAGTCTGTCCTCCTCCTGCAGGGTGACATCTATAGAAGGGGGCTATGAGTCTGTCCTCCTCCTGCAGAGTGACACATATAGAAGGGGATCCCTCATCTTGTCATACATTGTTATACACAGGTCAGACTTGCATCGTTGGGCGGCAGTGTTTCCCAGTAAAAACGAGGACGCATTATCCGGCAGTGACACCATATACGAGGACTGGGGTGAGTTTGCTTTCTTTTGGGGCTCTCTGTGATTTCCGGTGTCCCTCTATTATTTTTTCTGTAGACAATTGTGCTGAGAAATGTCTGACCTGAGTCAGTAACAAGTTCCCTTTAATAAATATTTATGATATTAGGAGCAGGGGTCTCCAAACTTTCTAAGCAAGGGGAAAGTCTACTGTCCTTCAGGCAGGCCGGACTGTGGCCAATGGGAGTAGAAAATGCCCCAGAACCAGTGCCTCATCATTGGTTTTAAACTGTTACTAAACCCGGACCCCGCATTCACTATATCCGCTCTCCCCGGACCCCGCATTCACTATATCCGCTCTCCCCGGACCCCGCATTCACTATATCTGGTCTCCCCGGACCCCGCATTCACTTTATCTGGTCTCCCCGGACCCCGCATTCACTATATCTGGTCTCTCCGGACCCTGCATCCACTATATCTGGTCTCCCCGGACCCCGCATTCACTTTATCTGGTCTCCCCGGACCCCGCATTCACTATATCTGGTCTCCCTGGACCCTGTATCCACTATATCTGGTCTTCCCAGACCCGCATTCACTATATCTGGTCTTCCCGGACCCGCATTCAATATATCTGATCTTCCCGGACCCGCATTCACTATATCTGGTCTTCCCGGACCCTGCATTCACTATATCCGCTCTCCCCGGACCCCGCATTCACTATATCCGCTCTCCCCGGACCCTGCATTCACTATATCCGCTCTTCCCGGACCCCGCATTCACTATATCCGCTCTCCCCGGACCCCGCATTCACTATATCTGGTCTTCCCGGACCCGCATTCACTATATCCGCTCTCCCCGGACCCGCATTCACTATATCCGCTCTCCCCGGACCCTGCATTCACTATATCCGCTCTCCCCGGACCCTGCATTCACTATATCCGCTCTCCCCAGACCCTGCATTCACTATATCCGCTCTCCCCGGACCCCGCATTCACTATATCCGGTCTCCCCGGACCCTGCATTCACTATATCCGCTCTCCCAGACCCTGCATTCACTATATCCACTGTCCCCGGACCCCGCATTCACTATATCCGCTCTCCCCGGACCCCGCATTCACTATATCCGGTCTCCCTGGACCCCGCATTCACTATATCCGCTCTCCCCGGACCCTGCATTCACTATATGCGCTCTCCCCGGACCCCGTATTCACTATATCCGCTCTCCCCGGACCCCGCATTCACTATATCCGGTCTTCCCGGACCCCGCATTCACTATATCCGGTCTCCCCGGACCCCGCATTCACTATATCCGGTCTCCCCGGACCCCGCAGTCACTATATCCGGTCTCCCCGGACCCCGCATTCACTATATCCGCTCTCTCTGGACCCCGCATTCACTATATCCGCTCTCTCTGGACCCCGCATTCACTATATCCGCTCTCTCCAGACCCTGCATTCACTATGACCGCTCTCCCCGGACCCTGCATTCACTATATCCGCTCTCCACGGACCCTGCATTCACTATATCCGCTCTCCCCGGACCCTGCATTCACTATATCTGGTCTTTGTTAAATACCTTTTCTCATCAGCAGTATATAGCAGTCTTGTGACTTCTATCAGTGTCCAGCAGAGCACTGGTTAAAGCTTGTAGTACAGTTTTCATTCTTCTGTAGGAGGAATGCAGGACCCCTGACCTCTGTCTGGACAGTGCTGATTGGCCCTGTGCTGATTACATGCACCCTCCCAAGAAAAAAAACAAACTCTCTAGCAATACACATCAAACTGAGCATTGCAGATTGCCCCCGAGCCTCTGTTCTATCAGGAGATATTTAGGAGACATTGGAAGAAGGGGAGGATCAGAGAAGTCAGGATCAAACAGCCTTTTTTACACAATGCGGAGGATTAACCCCTTAGGTCCCACAGTGAGTATAGCAAGCACGCTTTACTGCATCTACAGACTGATTGTACTGTTGTGGGTTTAGTAACAGAAGAGTTTACACATTCGGCAATCCTGAAGCTTGTAAATACTTGGTGGTTGGCCCCAGAATGGAGATGCTTTTAGGGTTTCCACAACAGTTTTGTGTTGTTTCGTGTTCCTGTTGAGTAAAACTGAAGTTACTCCAAGTAGGAGGGAGCATCATATTCACTAACATGCTGACTATGGCTGTATGTCCTGTCTGATACAAATTGCTGTGCTACCTAGAAGGTCCCTCTGTCATATGTCCCCGATCTAACGGCCTTTCCCTTCATCGCCAGATTGCCCCCAGGTACACTGTGTGGAGCAGTACACCGCCGCGCAGGCTGATGAGGTGAACCTGGAGCCCTCTGACATCATCAACGTGCTACGGAAAACATCTGAAGGTGAGTGCCGAGGTGCCCCATTATTGTGCCCCATTGTGAGTGCCGAGGTGCCCCATTATTGTGCCTCATTGTGAGTGCCGAGATGCCCCATTATTGTGCCTCATTGTGAGTGCCGATGTGCCCCATTATTGTGCCTCATTGTGAGTGCCGAGGTGCCCCATTATTGTGCCTCATTGTGAGTGCCGATGTGCCCCATTATTGTGCCTCATTGTGAGTGCCGATGTGCCCCATTATTATGCCCCATTGTGAGTGCCGAGGTGCCCCTTATTATGCCCCATTATTATGAGTGCCGAGGTGCCCCATTATTATGACTGCCCAGGTGCCCCATTATTATGCCCCATTATTATGAGTGTCGAGGTGCCCCATTATTATGAGTGCCGAGGTGCCCCATTATTATGCCCCATTATGAGCGCCGAGGTTCCCCATTATTATGCCCCATTATGAGCGCCGAGATGCCCCATTATTATGCCCCATTATGAGCGCCGAGGTGCCCCAATATTATGCCCCATTATGAGCACCGAGGTGCCCCATTATTATGAGTGTCGAGGTGCCCCATTATTATGAGTGCCAAGGTGCCCCATTATTATGCCCCATTATGAGTGTCGAGGTGCCCCATTATGCCCCATTATGAGTGCCAAGGTGCCCCATTTTTATGCCCCATTATGGACGCCGAGGTGCCCCATTATTATGAGTGCCGAGGTGCCCCATTATTATGCCCCATTATGAGCAACGAGGTGCCCCATTATTATGAGTGCCGAGGTGCCCCATTATTATGCCCCATTATGAGTGCCGAGGTGCCCCATTATTATGCCCCATTATGAGTGCCGAGGTGGGAGGGGGCAGGACCCAGAGGGGATCTAAGGCAGTACAATAGGACAGAGTGCTAATCAATATGTGTGATTGGTGTGGAATGAAGAACGTTGGGCTCATCTGGAATAAATCATTAGTTCAGAAGTTGGCTTATCTGCTGATAATTGTGTTTCCTAATTCAGAACGACGCTTATCCTGCTTTTTAACCTGTTCTCTATAGTCCTTCGGCTACAGCGCAGTTGTCTGGTTCTGGGAAACCGTCCATGGATGTCATTCCAGAACACGCCCCCTGCACACCCCTCAACGGCGTGCACCCGGCACGCGCCCCCTGCACCCCCCCCAGCGGCGCGCACCCGGCACAGCTGATCACGGGATATGGTAAACGGCCAATCACGGCAGCCTTTTACCACGTGATCAGCTGTGTCCAATGACACAGAATATCACCCGGTAAATACAGTTGCTGGTTATCGGCTGCACTTTCCTCACACTGTCACAGCGCGAGGAAAGTACTGCTAATAACCGGCAATTGTCAGAGAAGTGATCAACACTGATCATCAGGGCACTGATGATCAATGCCCATCAGTGCTGCCCACCTGTACCCATCAGTGCTGCCCACCTGTACCCATCAGTGCCACCAACTTGTGCCCTGCAGTGCCACCCAGCAGTGGCTAGCAGTGCCACCCACCTGTGTCCTGCAGTGCCACTCACCTGTGTCCTGCAGTGCCACCCACCTGTGCCCAGAAGTGCCACCCATCAGTGTTGCCCAGTAGTGTCACCCATCAGTGCCACCCGGCAGTGCCACCTATCAGTGCAGCATCATCAGTGCCAGCTCATCAGTGCCGCCTATCAGTGCCCATCAGTGCTGCCTATCCATGCCACCTCATCAGTGCCCATCAGTGCTGCCTATCCGTGCCGCCTCATCAATGCGCATCAGTGAAGGAGAAAAATTACCTGTTTGCAAAATTTTATAATAGAAGCAAAGAAAAACTTTTTTTTTCAAATGTTTTGCTCTTTTATTTGTTTATAGCACAAGAAATAAAAAACCCAGCGGTGAGTAAATACCACCAAAAGAAAGCTCTATTTGTGTGAAAAAAATGATAAAAATTTCATATGGGTACACTGTTGCATGACCCGCGCAATTGTCATTCAAATTGCAACAGCGCTGAAAGCTGAAAATTGGCCTGGGCAGATTTTTTACCCTTCTTTGCTCTGGAGATATTGATGTACAGTGGGGAAAATAATTATTTGATCCCTGCAGGTTTTGGAAGTTTTCCCACTTACAAAGACATGAAGGGCCTGTAGATTGTATGCAGATGTGTATCACTTACAAAGCTGACACTTTTTTTTTTTTTTTTTTTTTTATCCTCAGGTTGGTATGAGGGTATCCGGCTTTCCGATGGCAAGAAGGGCTGGTTTCCCGCCCGCTACGTCCAGGAGATCACCAACGAACATGTCAGGAGGAGGAACCTTCGGGAGCGATATCGTCTCCTGCAGGCCGCAAGGCAGATAGTCATCCAGACTTCTGACATCAAGAAGAAATCTAGTTCGGCTTGAGCCCTTGAGTTTATCCATCTGTCCAACTGATAGGTGTTTGAACCTAACAATCAGGCTGGGTTTTATTGTGCAACCATTAAGGAAGGAAAAAAATGCTTGGTCCTAAAACCAGCCGGAAAAAGGTGAAGGTTAATCGAGGATTGGCCAGGAACTGCTGCTAGCTTTTCTGTCAACGGTTGGATGCGTTCATATCTGTATTCTGGAAGAGCACAAATGTCCCATAAAAAGGGACCAACCTAATTTCAAGCACAAGAAGTGATCAATGTTCTCTGAGAATTTCCAGGCCTCCTGAAGAGTTGGACATTTTGTTTTGGGCTTCAAAGAAGTCATTATTCTTGCCAGGTTGGTTTCATTTCACTCAACATTCACCTAGGTCTGAGCTTAAAAGTGATCAAAATTTGACCTCAGTTCTACTTCATGCAGGATAATGGAAGGAAAACTATAACAGTGCCACAAAGTAAAGGAAATAAGTCGCCTGATCTTGCATAGTTGTCATGGTGAACCTTATCATAGTTTTAGTCGCGCTACCATGTTACTTTCACATCAGCCAGAACCAGTGTGAAAAGCAAAATTGAAAAGTGTGTTTGCTTGGCAATCTGTTGGGGGACAACCAAGCCTTGGCCAAATACATCCTCATAATTTTATTTCCAAAAGTATCAAGTGACTGAGCACTATCGGACTAAGAGGTTTTAAGGAATGTCCTCATCCTAGGACAAGAAAAAATCCCTAATCACGCTGAGCTAGTTTTCAACACCCCAAGAACTAATCACAAATCATTTGGAGATTTTGAGCTGTGGAGTTTTTAATCTGTGCTTTTTGAGTGAGATCAAAAATTGTTCTCAAGTCCTTTGTCTTCTTCATTAAAAGGTCCTCCAAGGTTAATAAACGTAAAAACATTTGGTCTTTTAATGGGCTTAAAGAAAAGGATGTTTTTCAGGAAATAATTTCAACATCTTGGCAAAACCTTGGACGCCTCTCATTGTAGACTTTGTTGACCTCTTTGTAGAGCAGTTTCGTTGTGGTGTTACTGAGATCATACACCAACTTAAAGCAGTCCTAATCAACCTTTGTAGCCAAGGACCAGACAGCAACATGTTTTGATTTTGTTTGCCAAAGACATCCAAACCTAAAGTATTTAAATATGACTATAGACTCTCAAACACCTAACCAACTTTCTCATCAAAAAAAGATAGCAAATCCATGATCTTAGAGTTTTGACTTTTGATATTGGGGTGAAAATTGCCTAATCTTCTCTGTGGGTCTTCATGGAGCTGTTTCTCCTATGAAAAAAGATCATCACACTTTTCTGGTCACAAAGAACCTTTTGCATTAGGTCTTGAATTTCTTGACGAGGCCTGGTGCACAAGGCTAACTTGCAGGATACAACGTTGCTGTTGTGTCGATGAATTTCTTGATGAGGCCTGGTGCACAAGGCGAACTTGCAGGATACAACATCGCTGTTGTGTGGTCAGATGTTAGACTGTTGCATGGTGTCTATCTTCTCTTAGACCAGGGGTCTCCAGACTTTCTACACAAAGGGCCAGTTTACTGTCCTTCAGACTTTAGGAGGACCAGACTACGGGCAGCGAGAGTTGAAAATTTCTCAGGTATGGTGGTTTGTGGAAAAAAAAATTGCATAGCAACTGTGGTCAGTAGGAGGAGGAGTAGTGCCCCATCATTGGTATTAGAGAGAGGAATAGTGCCCCATCATTGGTATCAGTGGGAGGAGTATTTCCCCATCATTGGTGTCAGTGGGAGGAATAGTTCTCCATCAGTGCTATTAGTGAGAGGACTAGTTCCCATCATTTGTGTCAGTGGGAGGAATAGTTCCCCATAATTGATATTAGTTAGAGGAATATTTCCTTATCATTGTTATCAGAGGGAAGAAAAATTCCCCATCATTGGTATCAGAGGAAGGAAAAGTTCCCTGTCGTTGGTATTAGTGGGAGGAAAGGTGTCTCATCATGTTATCAGTGGGAAGAATAATTCCCCATCATTGATATCAGAATGAAGAATAGTGCCCCCTCATTGGTAAGAGTGGAAGGATGTATGCCCCACTGTTGGTGTCAGTAGAAAGAATGATATCTCATTGTTGGTGTTAGTAGGAGGAATAATGTCTCTTATCAGTGAGAGGATTAGTACCCCAATGGCCATATAAAGACAAGCAAAGGGCCAAAGTCCACTGTCTTAGACCATTTTTACCAGCGGTGAGGCTTTCATTACAACACAAACTGGGATATCAAGGAACAATGGTGTCTATCATCTCTTAGACCAGTTCCACCATTGGCGAGGCTTTCATCACAACACAAACTGGGATATCGAAGAGCTATGGTGTCTATCTTCTGTTAGACCAGTTCCACCATTGGCGAGGCTTTCATTACAACACAAACTGGGTTTCAAGGAACGGTGGTGTCTATCATCTCTTAGACCAGTTCCACCAGTGGCGAGGCTTTCATTACAACAGTAACTGGGATATCACGGAACGATGGTGTCTATCATCTCTTAGAGCAGTTCCACCATTGGCAAGGCTTTCATCACAACAGAAACTGGGATAGCGAAGAGCTATGGTGTCTATCTTCTTTTAGACCAGTTCCACCATTGGCAAGGCTTTCATTACAACACAAACTGGGATATCAAGGAATGGAGGTGTCTATCATCTCTTAGACCAGTTCCACCATTGGTGAGGCTTTCATTACAACACAGACTGGGATATCAAGGAACAATGGTGTCTATCATCTCAGTCAGTTCCACCATTGGTGAGGCTTTCATTACAATGCAAACTGGGATATTAAGGAACATTTACTCTTCCAGAATTTACAATGAACCTTTGCTTTTGGTCTTGATGAGACCTGGTACACAGGGCTAACTTGCAGGATACAAGGCCGCTGCTGTGTGGTCAGATTTTAAACCTTCCCATGGTGTCTATCTTCTTTTAGACCAGTTCCATAATTGGTGAGGCTTTCATTACAACATAAACTGGGATATCAAGGAATGATTGTGTCTATCATCTTTTAGACCAGTTCCACCTTTGGGGAGGCTTTCATTACAACGCAAAATGAGATATCAAGGAACATTTACTCTTCCAGGATTTCCAAGGATCCTTTGCGCTCAGTCATGATGAGACTTGGTACACAGGACTAACTTGCAGGATACAAGGTTGCTGTTGTTTGGTCTTAAACCATTCCATGGTGTTCATCTTTTAGACCAGTTCCACCAGTGGTGAGGCTTTCATTACAACGCAAACTGGGATATCAAGGAACGATGGTGTTCATCTTCTCTTAGACCACTTCCACCAGTGGCGAGGCTTTCAGTACAACGCAAACTGGGATATCAAGGAACGATGGTGTCCATCTTCTCTTAGACCAGTTCCACCAGTGGCGAGGCTTTCATTACAACGCAAACTGGGATATCAAGGAACGATGGTGTCCATCTTCTCTTAGACCAGTTCCACCAGTGGCGAGGCTTTCATTACAACGCAAACTGGGATATCAAGGAACGATGTTGTCCATCTTCTCCTAGACCATTTCCACCTGTGGTTTGAAGTCCACACAAACTATTAAACATATCGAGGGAAGTTTACTCTGCCAGGATTTACAAAGGTGTGTGATTTTATAAATCGCCTAAAGACTGAGAAGAACAATTTTAAGGACAATGCCCTGAATGGTGTTTACATGGAACTTACAAATTCATCTCATATATGGAAATGTTCACACTGCCAGTTTCCAATGGACTGTAATATGAAGGAAGGATTTTACATCGGGTTTTTGTTCATGGGTAGACTATGTGAGTCGAATGTGAGGGCGACAGATATTGGGGTGGGGTCTTTTGTGTGTTGTGCAGGGAAAAATGTGCTGTATATTTTGAAACTGCCAAATACATTGTCTTGTAACGTTATTTCAAGTTATTTCTTGTCAAGTGAAGTAAAATTTTTCCTCTGCTAGAATTTGTTTTCTTGTCATATGTGTGGAGGGAAACCAACGAGTCAAATATTTGAATGATGGACCTGCGGAAAGTTCATCTGTCTGAATCACCGTCTTGGAGCAAACATGCAGCTGATACATTCAGGATAGTGACTCTCAGGGGCTGATTTACTAAAGGAAAATAGACCTTGTACTTTGCAAAGTGCAGTTGCTCCAGAGCTTAGTAAATGAGGGAAAGCTTCACTTTGCAAAGGAATACCCAATCATGTGCAAGGGAAAAAAAAAACAGCATTTCTGCTTGCATGCAATCGGATGATGGAAGTCAGCAGAGCCTCTGCTCATTTACTAATGAGTGGAGGAGGAAGCAGTGCTGGATCAGTAATCTGTATATAAGGTAACTGTCTATATGTCTCAATAGACCGTGGAGGAGGAAGCAGTGCTGGATCAGTAAGCTGTATACAATGGTGTCAGTTTGTGTCCTGTCAGATAGTAGAGGAGAAAAGCAGTGCCCGGATCAGTAATCTATATACAAGGTGACTTTATAGTGTCTCAATAGGACCGTTGGAAGGAGGAACGCAGTATTGGAATCATCAGTAAAGCTGTAGGATAAGGTGATAGTTTCTGCCATGTTCCCGTTAGTGGAGGAGGAAGCATTGCTTAGATCATTACTCTCTGTATATAAGTAGACAGTGTATGTTTTGTCAGATAGTGGGAAGGAGGGAAGCAGTGCCGGTTCAGGAATCTGTAAATAAGGTTGACAGTGTGTGATTTTTTTCAGATAGCGGGAGGAGGAAGCGAGTGCCATAACAGGAAGAAAATAGAAAAGAAGAAAAAGCCAGTAGAAAAAAATAATTGAAGAGAGAGAGGTAGGAGAGAGGGGAGTAAGAGAAAAAGAAAAAAAAGAAGGAAGAGGAAAGAAAAAAAAATAAAGAAAAAAAAAGAGAAAAAGAAAAAGAAAGAAAGAGAAAAGAAGAAAAATAGAAAAGAATCGAAAAAAGAATATAGTGAAGAAAAGAAGAGAAGAAGTAGATTTGAAAAAAAAGAAAAAGACAGAAAAAAAAAAAAAAGAAGAAAGAAAAA